AATAAACTACAATCCAAAAGCTAGGGTTTTCAGTTTCTCTAAATTCTCTAAATTCTCAAAAACTGACTACCAATCTTGCTAGAATTTTAAAATTCCCAAACAGGGCCAAACAACCAATTACAATTTAATATGCATAATATTTTTCACCTTTTTTACCATTTATGAAAATAGAGTATACTTTTACAGGTGTTTATTTAATGGTCCACCTATAAAAATGGAACCTAATGTATTTGGAAAATCATTTTTTATAGTAAGATCTATAGATATATGTATCTAAAAATAATTGATTATTGTTTGTAGTGTTAATTTACTGTCAGTATCTTTTCACTTTGCCAATAGTTACACCATTAAAATTTAACCCATGGTAGCGATAGCAAAACTACCGAGTACACCCTCCATCCACAAACAAATACAAATAATCCAAGTATTTATAAATTAACAACAAGTATAAGCATAATAACATTTTAGAGTACTACTTATTTAAAAAAAACTCGACCGCCGGGTAAATAGCCACCCACACGGCATTTTATTAAGAAAAAGAAGTCTCACCCAAACCGGCGGACAAAAGCCACCCCAAGACCAGCGTGTTCCTTTTTTAAAAAAAGTTCTAAAATTCGCTCCCGTAAGAAGTCAAACCTTAGAACTAGAGATGCTACTTGAGCACTGTAACCGCTAGGCTATAGTGTAACAGTCGGTCTCCAGAATGCTAGGCTATAATGTAACCGTCTATCCTCTAGAACCGCGTCGCGCAGTTCGTCCAACGAACGAGCCCACTTACGCTTTAGTTCTCTCTTCGTGTTAAAGGTTTAACCCAAAAGTGATATGATTGTAAGGACATGTATTTATAAGTTAGTTCCGCTCTGGCTCGACTAAAAAGTTGATACTATTCAATGTGCGCACAATAATCATGATCACACAGGCTACATCTCAATTGGATTAGGATGTTACGTATATGCATACAGCAGTTTAATTAATCAACTCTCATTAAATTCATCCTCATCTTATCCCCAACCACCTTTTAACCCCCAACCATTCCTCATCTAATGAGAAGCACCCAAATCCTTTAGGACAATTGCGTTCATGCCCTTACTTTCAATAGCAATTATGATTTTACCCCTATTTTTTAGGGTTTGCGATTTTACCCTAGTTCTTTTGAAAATACAGCAACATGTTACCCCTGATTTGGATGGTCAGTTTGACGGTGTTAAATCAGTGATGAAAAGATATATTTACCATTGTTTGTTATTGCATATTTGCCCTACTTCTATGCATTGAAATGTGTATTTATCCCTGTTTTGGACTGATATTTATCGAACTTCTAGCAAGCTTGATGATATGACAAAATAGCATAAGTATTCATGCAAAAGAGGCACAGAAACCACAGAGTAGAAGCAACGTTGGGAATTAATGTTTTGAGCAAGGTCAGTAAGAGAGCCGGCTGCCGGCTCTAAAAAAATTAAATTGCCGTGTCATCTATAGTAAATGCAGCTAATATCTACAATAACAATACTATAACAAAATATTTTACTATCCTTGTGAGGTCCACTATTTTGTCCTCGTTCTCCTTCTTCCTCCTACCCCTCCCATCTTGTTTCTTCTCTTCCCATCTTTTCTTTACCATTCCGTCGATGACTCCTGTGAAGATGATGTGGGCTTGAGCAGGTGGATGACGACGGCCATCCGGTGCACGCAGGTGATGGCGGTAGTCCAGCAGATACATGTGAGTGTGGTGGCTAGGCTAGATGACGATGGCCATGGCGGATGTGCGCCGGAAGCGGGATGGCGATGGCCGAGCGGGACGAACGCCGAAGCGGACGACAATGGCCGGACTTTAATTTGCGGCTAACACGGTATACGTCAGCGGTCGGGCAGGACAAAGACGGCAGTCATGTAGCGAACGACGGCGGCCATGCGACAAATGGCGGCGACCGCGATGAAGGAGGCGACGGACGCGGGAAACGGCGGCGGGCGAGCCGGGCGACGGCGGCAGTCCGACGGACGCAGCAGATGGCGGCGACCGAGCCGAACGACGGCGGCCACGCGGTTGACGTTGCAGACGGCGGCGACCGAGCAGGACGGCTGGCTGTGTGGCGGACGCGGTTACGGCGTCGACCGAGAGGGACGAATGCGGCGCGTCGGCGGAAGTGAGGAGACGGCGGCGGCTGGGTCAACAAGGTCCGCGGTCGCGGTAGAGGAGGAGCGCTGCTTTCCCATCTACGGTGTGCTGGCGCGCTGCTTTTCCATGATTCCATCTACTGGCGGGCCCCACAATCTTGGACTGCGTGTGCAGCTGGGCGACAAAATAGTCGCCCCGCTCCTTCTCTCTCATTTCTCCTCTCTCCTCCACGTCATCCCAAAATTATATGTGGAGCTGGTATCGCCCACTATTGTACCCGCTCTCATCAAGAAGCCGCCGAAGCCTCCTGCTGTTGTTGAGCACTAGCAGCGCCGGCCTGCTTGCCTTGCATCGGCTCGCCACGCGGAGCCGCCGAAGCCTCCTGCAGTCCTGCCTTGCCATTGGCTGCTCCTGCGTGCCCGCTCGCTCGCCTCGCCTTGCAATTGGCTTGCTGCGCCGCCTCTTCACCCTGCAGGTTGCAGCCGGCTGCTCCCGCCGCCACTGGCTCGCCAAGCAGACTTGCCCCACCGCCGCCCGTTTTGCCTTGCTGCACCTGCCGGCTTGCTAGAGCCTTCGCTGCTTGTTGTTTCTCCTCGCTAGGATTCGGGGATAGGGAACGGATAGGGAATTGTAGAGCTTTAGGTTAGTTCATACCTTCAAGGGTAAAGCGGTAATCTGGTACTCCCTCCGTTTCTAAATATTCAACACCGTTAACTTTTTAAAATTATATGTATACATAAAAGTATTTTAACAATGAATCAAATGATAAGAAAAGAATTAATAATTACTTAATTTTTTTTAATAAGACGAATGGTTAAACATATTTAAAAAAAGAGTAAATTATATTGGTGGTACACAAACTTGTTAGATATGTGCAATTTAGTACATAAACTTGTAAAATGCTCGTTTCAGTACACAAACTTGTCTAGTTCATGTGAATGAGGACCAAAATAACTTGGCAATGTTAATTTTATGAAGCTGATGTTAACTACGATGTGACGTGCATACGTGTAGTGAATGTGCATAAGATATTCAATATTTATAAATTTAGTCTCTACTTTATTTTCATCCTAGAATGATGAATTTTATATATTTCTAACTTTTATATCATTGCTCGGTTTTTTTAATCTTTTTCTACTATCATTGTATCTCATTCTATTTTTTAGTGAAGAGGTGTATGTCTAATAGCAACCTTCCCAAATTTATCCCCTAAATCAATAAGATTAGCCATGTAGTATCTTCTTGCCTTCCTCCGCACGCACCAGACAAGTTCATGCACCAAAACGAGCATTTTACAAGTTCGTGTACTAGATTGCACCCGCCTAACAAGTTCGTGTACCGGCGATGTAATCTACTCTTAAAAAAATCAACGGTGTCAAATATTTATAAGCAGAGCGAGTATATCAAAAATCATTTGTTTTCTTTTTATTTTCAATTCTTTAACTCGCAATTGTGGGACCCATATAACTGTCGTCCATTATAGGGGCAAACGGCGATTTCATTTTCAAAAACATGGTGAAATCGTAAACTCTAAAAAATGAGGGTAAAATCACAATTACAATTGAAAATAGGGGCGAAGTGACTAAAACTAATTGAAACTGTGACAAACAACAGTAACGTGATAAATTCGTGTGGACAAATTCGTACTTCCTCCGTTTCAGGTTATAAGATGTTTTGACTTTGGTCAAAGTCAGACTGTTTCAAATTTAACCAAGTTTATAAAAAATAGTAATATTTTCGACCCAACATAAATTTATTATAAAAATATATTTAAGGAAAAAGTATGAATTACCCCCTAAACTATTGCGGTCGTCCGAATTACCCCCTGAATCACAAAACCGGATATTCTTCACCCCTAACTATGCAAACCGGACGAATTACCCCCCTCGACCCAATCTGCGGTGGTTTTGGTCTACGTGGCGTACGCATGGTAGTCTAGTCAGCAATTTATTTATTTAAAAAATGTGGGACCCACATGTCATTCTCCTATTCCACTATTCCCTCTCTTTCTCTCTCTTCTCTCTCACTCTTCCTCTCTCTTATCTCACTCTCTGTCTCATGCGCACAGCGGCAGGCGGGGGGCAGCGAGCAGCGGCGGCGGTGGAGGAGGCGAGCGGCGGTGGGAGCTCACACTGCTCGAGCGAGGCGAGGCGGCGACGGAGGAGGAGGCGAGCGGCGGGGGATGAGGCGGCGAGCGGCGGCGGGGTGCGGCGGGAGCTCGCGCTGCTCGAGCGAGGCGAGGCGGCGGCGGAGGAGGAGGCGAGCGGCGGGGGATGAGGCAGCAAGCGTCGGCGGATGAGGCTGCGAGCAATGGCGTGGTGCGGCGGAGGAGGCGAGGCGAGGCGGCGGCGGCAGCAGAGGAGGAGACCCCGCGGCCACCGATCCGGCGGAGGCGGGCATTCGCCTCGCACCAACACCTCCACGCTCCACTTCCGCCTCGCCCACCGCGAGCACTTCGCGCTCAACGTTGCCATCCGCCGCCCGCCCCCGTGCACGCCTGCAAACAGAGAGAGATTGAGAGAAAGAGGGGAGGAGAGAGAGAGAGATTGAGAGGATAGTGGGGAAGAGAGAGAGGTGGGAGAGTATGAAAGACAGGCCCCACCATTTTTTAATTAAAAAAACGCTAACTGGGATGCCACGTAGACCAAAACCACCGCGGATTAGGTCGAGGGGGGTAGTTCGTCCGGTTTGTATAGTTGAGGGGTGAAGAATGTCCGGTTTTGTAGTTCAGTGGGATAATTCGGACGACCGCGATAGTTCGGGGGGTAATTCATACTTTTTCCTATATTTAATTATGAATTTAATAAAACTAATTTTGTAATGCAAATATTACTATATTTATTAAACTTAAAGCCGTTTGACTTTCTAATATAACATTATGCAGGCCAATATGCCGTACAGTGTCGGATGCTGTCCATGTACTGGATAACATTGTTGGGTATGATGCACTTGATGCTGAAGCCACTGGAGCATCATCCAAGTATATCCCACCTGGTGGATATGGACACTTCTTAAGGATGGATGGATTGAAGGGCAAGAGGATTGGTATTCCCAATGGCTTTTTCACTAAAGAAAAATATGGGAAGAAACAATTGATGGTATACCAAAAACATGTTGCATTAATGAGGTAAGCAAAGCGCGGCTAAAAAATGCATCCTAGCATACATGCAGTCAGTCTGCATAATTTACGAACAAAAGAGTCGTTGCAATATATTGATGATATTATCTTCCATGGTGTTCGAATGTATAATCAAATGTAATAGTTAATATTGTTTATTCATGGCCTAAAAATGAAAAGAAGCAGAGTCAGTCAATTATGTTATAATCAGTTAATGATCAATCTCTCGTTCACCTTTCTGGATAAGTAGGCAAATATGCATGTGGCATATGACTTTTTCCCCCATGCGCTGGTGGATCTAATTAACCATAAGTTTTTATAGAAAATGGAACAAATCATGGTCTTTGCTTCCAAGAAACTACAGCTACTTGCTACAACCAAAGTTCGCTCGATAGAGAGCAACTAAAATATTCCAGAAAATGGGAGTCAAAAGACTAGCAACTCCAACATATAAGAAGAAATACGTTTATATTTGTACATTTTCATTCGAAGTTGGCAAATATTTGTATAACTATGGAGTCCAAGTTTCGACATGCAAAATATATTAGTTTTTTTTTGTTTTCGTCACACCTTTTTACTTGTGCCTAGAACCGAATTCAGTACGTTATCCTGAAAAGTATTTACATATAAGATTTAGATGAAGATTTATGAAAAGCTATATCATAAAATGGATACTCCTGCTAGAATAAGTTTCTTGGTCTTCAAGTCAATACCCATGAGACAATTCCTACACATATGAGAAATACTATTTGAAGGTTTTCGGCTAAAAAGATATCTGTAAAGAAATTTAATAAATGATGAATAGTCTTATTTTCATAAAAAGCATCATCTCTTGCTACAATTCCAATTTATTCTCTGTAAAATATCTTTGGTTAAAATTTGTTCTTAAAACATATACCACATAAAAATCTTTATTTTAAGATGCATTTAGTTTCCAAAAAACTTATTCATGTCTATGTGTCCATTGTTGATTAATGCTAAATACATATAACGGATTGACCATTTTGATGAATTCCATCTAAAATGCCTTTTTCTTTTACTTGAAGTACTGCCAAGGCTTTGCCTCGTAGTGTGAATTTTATAAAAAAGAACTCAAAATATTTACAAGTTACAAGTTACAGAAGGAGAAGGAAAATGATTACACAGTTTGTAACCAATCAAAAACTATCTGCTTTAAGGGCCCCTTTGAATCGCAGGGTAGAAAAAACGGAGGAATAGGAAAAACACAGGATTCTGACAGGAATTGAAGTGTAAAACAGAGGATTACAAAACACAGGAAAAACACAGGAATGGTCGTTTGATTGGAGCGCAGAAAAAACGCAGGAATCGGATGAGAGAGATAGAGTCAGAGGAAATGTTCCAAGAGGTTAGACCTCTTGCTAACTTTCCTCCAAAATATGTATAGGATTACCCATTCAATAGGAATTTTAAAGGATTGGATAGGATTCAATCCTTTGTTTCAAAGGCCTTCATAGAATTTTTTTCCATAGGATTGAAATCCTCCAAAATTCCTATATTTTCCCTATAAATCAAAGGGACCCTAAAGGATCCTTCATTCTACACATGCAGAAGAACATCTGATTTGAACAAGGCCCTCCAGGAATTGAAGGAGGGAAGTTCATTCTGTTTTTAAAATGCCGTTTTTATCATTCAAATGAATATGAGCAACTGGAGCAACTAAATTATACCAATTAATTAAGTTTTGATCTATCAACACTCTTCGAAAGAAAACATAAAGTGAAATAGAACTAATAACAGTTATAATTGACACTACGAGAATGGGTCTTTACTGCCGGTTCGTACCCCCTTTATTACTGGTTATAGCAACCGAGACAAAGAAACCGAGACTAAAGATCTCAATCTTTAGTACCATTTGAAGGAACCGGTACTATAGATATATACTAAAGAAAAAAATATGAGGGATTGTGGGGATTCAAACTCAAGATGTCTCACCTCAGCCCTCACGTGCGTTACCATTCTACCTACTACACACATCTGATTTAGATAGAGATGCTTTTGCTTTCTTTTTGAACTAAACATGAAGACATCTTTAATACCGTTTGGTAACACCAACCGATGTTATCAACCGGTACTAAAGATGCATTTTTAGTACATCTAATATATTTGTGTTTTGGGGACTAGGATAAAAGATGAGCTCTCTAGTAGTGTGAAACATTTTTTCTTCAAATAATATATAAAAAGATGGGTATCTATCATTTAAGAAAGAATTCCCTAAACATTTATCCACCCAAAATCTTAATCTTACTTATTTTTGCTCTGTAGAGTTTAGTAAGCGTAGGCCTAATCTAAAGGCAAGACAGTGCGGGTCAAACATTATAGTTACGTTCGTACAGTATATAATTGGTTCATTACAGTAGTCATAGTCTTGAAAACTTAGTGGTAAACAATTATAAAAATTGTTCCACATCATGTCAATTTTTTTTAGCAAAACGACTAAACTAGCGCTGAACAATTAAAATGCTGGCTAAAACAGCTGAATTTGCATTTATTTATTAACTCATATTTTCATCAAGGGAACATGGAGCCATGGTGATAGAGAATATCGGCACCACAGAAAATCAGACTGAAGTAAAGAATCATCTTTTCGAAATTGATCTTGTCGCTATGAAAGCAGAGTTCAAGTTAAGCTTAAATGCTTATTTGTCAGACTTGCTGTACTCCCCAGTTCGTTCTCTTGCAGATGTCATAGCATTCAACAATGCACATCCTGTGGAGGTAAGTGTAAAATTTGCTTTGAATAAGTAATCTTTCATCACAAGTTCTCATGCCTTAAAAAAATCATGAAATTTACTTTCTTTTTTTTATGTATTTCATTTATATGTTCTGAAAAAATATATTATTTTTGTATAGATAAACTGGAAATTAGTTTTGTGCACACTGCAATGTTTATGTAATTGCCAAAAGAAGCTCATGCAAGAACTTATTGTCGTATCACACTTCGTTGCAGGAGAGGCTTAAAGATTTTGGACAGAGCTTTCTTACTGATTCCCAAAAAACCAATGGCATTGGACCCAGGGAGAAAACTGTACTCAAGATACTCAAAGAGATATCTACTGATGTGTTGGAGAAACTGATGAAGAAGCACCAGTTGGATGCGATTGTCACACCCAACTCTGACGCCTCCACCATTTTCGCCATCGGCGGCATGCCGGCGATCGCTGTACCAGCTGGGTATGACAATCAGGGAGTGCCATTTGCTATCTGCTTCGGTGGATTGAAGGGCTACGAGCCGAGGCTTATCGAAATGGCCTATGCTTTTGAGCAAGCTACCAAAGTTCGAAGGATGCCACGTTACAAGCACTAGTGTATGGGCATTGGATTTCGATCATGCCAAAAATAAGTTGATGGAACTATTTTGCCATTTGGTTTGTTACTTTGAGTAGTAACAATAAGATTGTATGTGCACTTGATTTATTGACAAAATTTTGAAAAGCAAACCAATCTAAAACCCAAACACTTCTAAAACTTTTGGCAGATTGAAACTACTAACTTTAACGGCATTTTCGTAATGCACAAATCTTGCATCCACATAATTTTGATGAGGTTAATTTACAATGGCAACTATCAAAAAGACCCTAAATAACCAGCAATTATTTATTAGAATAGTACACTCCGGTACATACAATTGCTGAAAGCAGCACGCCTGTACAAGGGATTCAGATCAGGTGCAGTTGCTATATTGACTGCAACTTTAGCTGTCATGTCATCCACCACGTACAAAATGAATCTAACGGCCAACCGTTAAGGCAACCTGCCAAAGTTACAGTCGATAGGATTGGGTTACAGACTGTACCCCAATCCTATCGACTGTAACTTTGACAGTCACGTGATCCATAGCGTCCAAATTGAATCCAACGGTGTTCACTGATAAGAGGTTCGTCATGGCTCCACTTGAGCATTAAGGGGTTGATCTGGCCAGCGGTAGCGTCGGCGGACGGCGGTCGGGGAAAGGCTGGTGAACTAAAAAATGAGTTGCCCAGCTCTTGAGGATCCCGTGCATGGTGAAATGAAAGAGGTATGTAGGCCCCGTTTGGTAGGGCTCCAAACTCCAACTCCCAGCTCCAAACTCCTACTCCAGTTGGAGCTAGCTCCTATTGGAGTTACAGACCCATCAAAAGTGTTTGGCAAACTTTTAGCTCCAGATCTGAAAAAAAAAGAAAAAAAAAAGGAATCCCCGCCGCCAAGCGGCACGCCGCCGTCAGCCGGCCAGCCCCCGCGCCGCCGCCAGCCGGCCAGCCCCCGCGTCGCCGCCAAGCCCACGCGCTGCCGCTGAGCCCGCGCGCCGCCGGCCAGCCCCCGCGCCGCCGCCAGGTCGCGCGCTGCCGGCTAGCCCCTGCGCCGCCGCCCGCCGACCAGCCCCCGCGTCGCCGCCGAGCCCGCGCACCGTCGGCCAGCCCCCGCGCTGCCGACCTCGCACGCCTCCGCCAAGCCCGCGCGCCGCCGCTAGCCCGCACGCCGCCGCCGAGCCCGTGCTCCGCCGCCGCCAGCCTGCCCGCCGCCGGTTGCCGCCGAATCTTGCCGGAGAAGATGGGAGAGGAGAGAGAGGATGGGAGGAGGAGGAGGAGTTTAGGGGTAGTTCAATGGCATTTCTGTGTAAATACATCAAAATTTTAAAGGGTAGTGGGTCTTTTGGGGTGGAGTGGAGCTGTGGAGCAGCAAAAACCCAGCTCCACCCCCGTAGTACAAATTTGTGGAGCTGCTCTGCCAACTCCGCTCCAAAAAAACAAAGAATTTGTACCGTTTGGCACAGCTCCAGCTCTAGGTAAGTTGGAGTTGGGAGCTGGAGCTGTGCCAAACGGGGCCGTAATATATATGTTCCTTAATCCGGGCAGCACTGGGTTCTTACTACGGATCCATTAGTTCTCAATCGAGATACTAATGCATATGTGAGTATAGATGGCCACGAGGCCCGAGGCCCGAAGGCCCGGCCCACGGCACAGCTTTTTGGCCCCGCCCAAGCACGGCACGGCCCGACTTGTATTGGGCCCGTGCTGGCCCGGCCCGACCACCGGGCCGTGCCTGGGCCTCCCCACCGGCACGCTGGGCTGGCCCGGCACGATGGGCCGGCAGACCAGGCCCGGCACACAAAGTATAGGGACTGAAAATAGACATATAAATATCACTGTCCAAAGAATAGGGACCTTAAATTGACTTATTTTAGCTATTTATATACCACAGCCCAAAGAAGAGGGAGGTAAAATGGACTTTTTTTAGCTATATATATATCACAGCCCAACAGGAGGGAGGAAAATTAGACTTATTCTGAAAAAAAGCACAATGGCCCATCTTGCCTTCGGGCTAGCCCGGCACGGCCCGAGGAGTGTTGGGCCGTGCCTGGGCCGTGAGTGCAGCACGTGGGCTGGCACGGCACGGCCCGGTGCATCAGTCGGGCCGTGCTGGCCCGACAAGTCTCGGCCCAGGCACGGCCGGGCCTGGGCCGTGCCGGGCGAACCACATGGCCATCTATATCTGTGAGGTTTGAGATATTTAAATTTAATAAGCTGCTAATTAATTGAGGCTGTGTTCTGCTTCACTTTTTTTTTAAGTAATGGTGAGCTTCTACTTCACGCACGCATATCAGCATATGTTCAAGGCTTGCTTGATGGGGAGATGAATAGTTGATGATGGAAGCGGGCAAGCGACCAAGCAGGTGCTTGGGGTTGGCATGTTGAGCAGCGGGAGCGGCGGTAAGGCGCCAGGCAAGGAGCGGCTAGCTAGCAGCATGCTCAGGTCGCGTCGACATGCTCTGGCCTCTTGGCTCTGGTCTATTGGTGCTGGGCTGAGGTAGATGACGATGTGCAGGGTTGCCTTAACGTTTGGCCGTTAGATTCATTTTGTACGTGGTGGATCACACGACTGCTAAAGTTGCAGTCAATATGCACCTGATCTGAATCCCGCAATGAATAATGTTTGGTACTGAACCTTTGCTTGCCAGGCGTTGCATGGTTTGTTGAATTGGTCCGATGAATTGAGATTTTTTTTTTTGAGAATAATTGAGAATTTTTCGGAACAAGGTAATTTGTTACTTCAAGCTTTGAACAGTAGGATTCCAAATAACTGTTATACAGATCCAATTGAGAATAGAATCTTTTTTCTTTTTTCTTTTTAAAAACAGAAAAAAGAAAAAAGATCCATTCAGATGCCAATAAGCACCTAGTTGTTTAATCTTCCACTTCAGTCAAATAATCAGCTGATTTCCTTTATACTACCTCCATCCTAAAATGTTTGACGCCGTTGACTTTTTTAAAAATATTTAACCGTTCGTCTTATTCAAAAAATTTAAGTTATTGTTAATTCTTTTTCTATCATTTGATTTATTGTTAAATATACTTTTATGTATACATATAGTTTTACACATATCACAAAAGTTTTTGAATAAGACGAACAGTCAAACATGTTTAAAAGAGTTAACGGTGTCAAACAACCTCTGCAAGGTTGCACATAGAAAAATATCCAGCTGATATATAGATCTTGTTCTGATGTAATTCAGGAATGCATAGTGAAACATCTGAGAGAGCAAGACATAGTTTCAATAGACACATCCTTTCTTCTGGATTGATGCCATTCAAGGCTTTACAAATAGAGTTTACACACGATGGAACAAAAAAACAACAGCAATCAGTTAGCAAGGCTGGGTTATCTATACAAGTCATTCATTTGAGCTTGAACGGGATGTGAAGACTGCAATATGTTGATTAAACTAAATTAATTCCGATTTGTTTAATCTTGATTTCTTCAAGCCTCTGTGGTTGTAAAGTTGCTATCGATAGGCATCCCTGCAGTACTAACCAAAATGTATCCATACTGCAGTTCCTCCCTATTCAGCAGCATACAGCCTCTGTCGAATCTCTGCTTGGCTCATTGCTGTATCCACACTGAAAATGAATACCACCAGGAATTAGATTATGTATTTGCAAAAGAGAGCAGTGATTCACTTTCCCTACAATAGTACACTAATGACATTCATGTATCAGAAAAACTTGCTTACCAACAGAGAACATCACCAGTTCGTGCGGTTTTCTCAGAGATCCAGTCTGGAATTATCTCTTCCAACAATTTTAACTGATCTTCAACTTCACCTATATATGTAAAAGATTCAGCATCTGGAATCACATTGCACAGAGCAGTTGAAGCAACAAAAACGAAACCACAGCTAGCACATACCTCTGTCCACAATTTTTGGATTGCTTGCAATTATCTTGTGGATGAGCTCCTGCTTTGTCATCACAGTGCGCTGCCTTGATTGATAGATAAGGAAGATAATGTCAAAGATGCTTGGCAGTGATGCTATTAGTTTCTCCCTTTTAATGTGATCTGCAAATCCGGTTTGCTTCTCCACCAAAGCTCTGTTTTCCTTGTCCTTCACCTGCAACGGACACATATTTTAACATTTGATCGATGGAGCAAACTAAGAAAATCATTGTCACCAACCACAAGAACTTACCGATTGCAGGAGAGACTTTGGGAGAAAACTGAGCAACTCATCATCACCATCAAGGGTCGACGCACTTGTGCTTTGCTTTTTCTCATCCATGCTGCTAGCATCTTTCGTCGGTGTCATGAAGAGCTTCGTCCTAGCAGATCGCTTCGCCATCTTGAGAGGTGGAGTATCATAGCCTGTACCAGACACAGGCCTTTTGGGGGTTTGAAGGACTGGTGTCTCTGCCATTAACCTCACGGGCGTAGAGGCAAACTTTGCAGGAGTTCCTTCTGAAACACCAGACTGGAATGCAACACCCTCGACACTTTTCTCTTGGCCTTCGGATTCACGGACTAAGCTCACACTACCAGAAACAGGAGAACCGAGCAGCGACTTCCTGCTCAATGGCGAGGTAATAGAGGGCTCAACCTTTGAAAGCGGACTGGTTGTGCTTGTAGTTGCAGCAGCAGCAGCCGCAGATCGCTGTGAAAACATTCTCTTGAAGGAATTAGGCATGTGAGACATTGCAACAGGCTGCCGATCAGTTGCAGATGACAACGGTAGCGCAGAAACAGTTTTGGGAATATCTTCTTGAATGGCCTGGGGTGCACTTGATCTTGTTGGACCAAATGGATGTGGCAGTTCATGCTCTGGAATGTCATGTCCCTGAAAATCAAGCAACACAGGCACCAGGATTTAGGATAATATCAACTGCAAATACATAATAGTATCAAATTGCACATTCAATTTTCATAGAACAAACTAGCAATAGCCATATATCAAGGGGGATTTCTTCCAGGATCATACCTCAGGATGGTCTCTGAAGTAATCCACAAGCCTCTGCCTGAAGATCCTTCTCAAGGCCGAGTATCCGGTTTCCCCCTTTTGCTTGGCAACACCCTCAACCGCATCAACCAGGAGGTTCACCTGAAGATCAGGCTTCATGCAGCAAGTCGTCTCGTCACGCAAAAGGATCTTATTGATAACAATAACCTCAGGCATTATGTACTTAAGCTGAGCAAGATGGCTGTAGGTAAACCTCCTGCACACACAATTATCAGTATTAGGAACTGAATTACTACAATCCAACACACCAGCCATTGTCTGAATATCTGTCAGAGAGAGGTTATACCGTTCAGACAAATGCTGGATGCTAGCACAAATGTTGGGGAAGGATGCCTTGGATCCCTTCATACGGAGCAACCGGGTGGAACTCTCGAAGCAATTGAAGAACTCGCACAGCATCTCGTAGCTGACCAAGCAAACCATCCACAAAAACCAATTGAAAGTCAGCACCAGTACAAAAATTAGCATCTCAAACATATATATAAAAAAGAGATTAGCATCTCAATATATCAAATTTAATGGTGGGTATGAAGACTATATTCACTGAAGGAGCGAGATTTGCAATCAGGCATCAGAAAAATTGTCTGAAACTAAAAAAAATGTAAGAATTCAATTGAACCAGATCCAAATGGTGGAGCCTGGATCTTTACCTCTCCGGCAGCTTGGCCGTGCGCTTGACGGGGCTCCGGACGGGCGCGGGACCAACACCAAGCTGCCGCTCCACGGCCTCGAGCTCGTCCTCCGCCGCCGCCGCCGCCGCCGCCGGCGACGCCGCCCCCCTCTCCGACCGCCGCCGCAGCTCGAGCGCCGCCCGCCGGACCCCCTTGACAGAGAACGCCACGCCGCCGCTGCTCCGCGCCCTCCGCTCCGCCGCCGACGGCTGCTTCGGCTTCTCCGGCGTCCAGATCTGCTCGGCCGCCGCCGCCGCCGCCGCAACCTTCGGCGTCGGCTTCTCCGGCGTCAAGAACTGGTCGGCCAACGCAGCCGCCGCCGCCGCCTTCCCCATCTTCTGCGGGGTGGCGACACCGGCCGCCGTCTTGGCCCTCTTGGATGGCGTCGCGGATTCCATTTCGGAGGTGGATTGGATTTGGTGGAGGTGGAGGAGGCGGCGGTTGCTAGGGTTTCGTGGGGTATTTAAGTGAGAACAGGCCGATTCGAGGAACGCCTTTATATTGAGGGGGTATACCATATAGGGGTCAGATATGGCGCGAAATGTTTTGGCGGGAACAGGGGGATGGCGCGAAGGGATCTGGGTGGTGCCACGTGGGTGGGCGCGGGGGCGTTCGCGCCAAGGTGCCAAGGTGGAGCCGCGTTCGCGCCAAATACCTGTAGCACCCTCGAGCATTCCTTTTTATGCCGGCCCAGAAACGCTCTTTCTTTTTAAGCCACTAGCTCTCTCTTTCCTTTTACAAGATATTTTCATAAAATTATTTTCTATAGATAATGGATTAATAATCTCTACATCTACATCCATAAGGACGTACCAACATTTTTTTCTACATATGCGTGTATTTCTGTTTTTCCAATTATATGCTTTTACATACGTGCGTATTTATTTTTTCCATTATACTCCTTCTGTAAAAAAAAAAATCCAATTCTAAACATATGATAGAGGGAGTACATGGTGTAAAAGAGATTCCTTTGTAAATATTTAGAAAACAAAATAAAAGTAGATCATAACCTGGTGTGTTTTCGCATTGATATGCACCGAAGGTATATAGATGGTCAAATTGACCGCCCGGCATGGCTCGGCCCAAGAACAACTGGTCCGACTAGCTCATCGTGTCATGTTGTGCCCGCTCACGGCTACATCTATGACCCAGACATAGCCCAATAAGGTTCGGGGCGTGCTATGCCGGCCCGAAGACACGATTAACTCACAGTACTCGTCCTTAACTAAATTTATTTTGCCTTCCTCATTTTTTTGTCATGCTTTATATGGCTGGAACAAGTCTATTTTACCTCTATCATCTTTGTGAACCGTGCCTTATATAGCTAGAAATAAGGCTATTTTGCCTTCCTTAACTCTTTGAGTCTGCTGATCGTTGGGTCGTGCTGTGCGGGGATGGCACGTAGCGCTGAGGAAGAGCCCAGACACAGCCCAATGGTTGGGTCGGGCCATGCTTTGTGTAGGCCAGGGCAAATATTCGTGCCGTGAACCGGGCCATTGGACTACTGGCCTTTTTGCCAAATAAAACTGAAGGTAAAAGGAATTCAAAATTGTAGTCAACAATCCATTCTCAAGCAAGGTTGTCAGGATCAGGATACTAGGGTTGTATCATAGTATCGGGATACTATGAGATTTTCTTTTTTTAAGTTTAATTAATATTTATATTAATTATATATAATCATTCTATATAAAAAAATGTAGTAATGATATATGTCATGCAAATAGTGACTTTTATTAAGAGAAACCACGTTGATTTTGATATATTTAACTGATTTTTATATAAATTTGAGCATATTTGTTTACATTATTTTCAAACCATATTATTTTAAATAATATTTTGTAGTATCGTAGGGATCGTAGAATCGGGATACCATCTAAGATTTCGTAGGATCGTGTAGTAATGAATAGTAGGATCGAGATTCTATGAAAATTAGGATACTAGGTGGGATCGGTATCGTTTCGGTTTGGTAGGATCGTAGTATCATAAGATACTAGGATACGAATCGGGATACTGACAACCTTGTTCTCAAGTCCCAAAATTGTTACTAGCACATTGTGTTCTTTTTGTGTGGGATATAGGGCATGTTTGGCATAGTTCTCTAGAGCTCGAGCTCAGCCAAACACTTTCAGCTCCACCGAAAATAGGAGCGAAGTTGGGTGGAGCGCTATCACAAAATAAACTAGAGAGGTAGAGCTGGGTTTAGATTGCTTCACAACTTCAATCTAAACCTAACTCCTAAAGCTAAATTTAGAAGTTGGAGCTCTACCAAACATACGCCATAGTCAACTAATAAAGCAGTAAAAACGAACAGAGCATATGTAGAACTTGTTGAGTTGTCTAGGCTACTGAACTTTTTATCGGCCCATTAAGTATTAGAAGTGGGCCTGAATCACGAAGCTCATATCACGTTTGGCCCATCTATGATGGAGGTTGTTGCATATACGGCCACAAACTTAAGCAAGATTGCCAAAATTTTCAAATGGATGGCAAACATGTACACAGTCCCCCTAGTTTTGTTTTAATTTTTCCACCAGAAAGTTTCTTAATTTCTAGTTGAAAATTTCTATAGAAAGTTCTCTACACAAGTTTCTATTTAAATTTTTATTCACTAATTTAAAAGGAGAGTTTCGTTCATCCCACCCATCACACGCAGTGCAGGAGCAAACCTTCTCATCTCCTGAACAGAAAAAAAAAGAGGAAAATTGCCAGATAAACAGAAAGGCCGGAAAAAAGAAACGATCACCTGAGGCCGGAGGCCCAATCATGAACCCATATGATCTCCTCCAAATGTGCTGATGCCAATGCCATCCTCCTATGGGAAAAATAAGAAATAAGTTCACTTTAGGTTTCTCATTAGGACGATTAAATCATATCCAACCACAATACTATATATCTCTCAACTAATAAAACTAGTGCAAACAAGATCCTAAGTCTGTTTGGATAGTGGTTTTGATTGACGTGGCGCCTACGTAGCTGGTTTTACTTGGCCCTCATCCCACGTGGCATTGACGTGACACAAGAAAGCAAAATTAAAAATTTTAAAAAAATATGGGCCCACATAGCAGTTGAAAAAAATTAGTGGAACCCACATGTCAGTGGGTCCTATTTCATCCACCTCACCCTCTCTCCTCTTTATCTCCTTCAGCCAACTACGCATTATTCCTCCATTATTCCCCTTCTCCCCAATCCCTCCCAACCTTCCATCCTCCCTCGTCATGCTCCCTCATCATGCTCCCTCATCACCCAGCCACCGCGCTACCACCTTCCGCAGTCAGCAGCAGTGGACATGACTACACCCATGCCTCGCAGTAGATCTCGCATGTGCCGCTAGCAAGCAAGATCGAAAAGCGGCGTAGAGCTGGAAGACCGTTGCAGGTGTGGGCGGAGATGGCAGGGAGAAGGATGTGGCATGCAGAGGTGTAAGTTCAACTCCCTTAATTTGATTTTGGTGATTTGTGATAAATCTAATTGTACGAGACTAACATTTTTATGAGCTTTTCTTTGACTAGTCTCATTTGGATATTAGAATAAAAATGATGAAAGGTATGCATTAAACTTCACATATTTTAACTTGGTCTCTCTTGTGGATCTAAAATATAGTGTGAGCTCCCTCATTGATCTTGATTGATTATGTGTATATGTGTTCTTTTATATCCATATGCATGCACATATTGAGGGGAGCTTATTATATATTTTGTTTATTATAAGATTTCTATCTTGATTTGAAATCATCTTTCATCTTATCTCTCTATATTGTTTATATATCACAAAAGAGAAAAAAGATTGAAAGATCTTGGATTAAACAATTTGTGTAATTATTGCTTTGGTGATAGATGATAAACCGATGTTTATGGGATTAACATCTCTTTTACGTAAGTTTTCAATTAGGTTATTTCCCGATAATGAGATGTGGTAGATATGCATACTTTTGTGATGGACCTTAATCATGATAAGGATGAAATACATGGAGATAAGGCGATATGTATCACTTCTTATCTCCTACTTGTTGATAGTCTCCTTTACTTTGAGAACATAGAGATCATGAAGGGATGTGTTTTTGTTTATCTTTATCATTGCTACATGCCTTCTCCATGTGTATAGGATAAACCCCATTGGTTCTTTTTTATTTATGCATACACTTGTCTCTCCTATACTCCCTCTATCCCATAATATAAGACGTGCACGTATTTCAAGATTAAAACATTTGACCAACACTTAGTATAATACAAAATGAATTTTATTTGTTAAAAATTATATCATTAGATTGAGATTTAAATTTACTTTCATATGGTTATAATTTTGTTGCTACAAATCTTATAGTATATGAGAAATTATAATTAAGCTAAATATTAGTTTTGGAGACCGTGCCAACTTTAGCCGCGCCTTATATTATGGGATAGAGGGATTATTTCTTTGTATGCATATATTTTCGCATACGGTTGCGCCACCCGTATTCGAAGTTCTCTATTTTCGCATACCTTCTCGTGCAGACGGGCCAACTAGCCGCATGCGAAAACCAGGTTTGATGGTATGAAAAAGGATTTTTATAGTAGTGAATATACAGACATACAACAGATTAGGCGCCACTCAGTTTTCTAAGCACAAATCAGAAGACAAGACATAAAAACATACATCAGATTGGGTGCTCAGTTTTCCAAGCCGCGTGCACGACTTCCTTTAGAGTGTCAAACTGCCTTCACATCCACACCTAAGTCGATTCCAGGTGATTATTCAACTCAACCCTGAATACAATTCCATTAGATTTATACAAGTGTAAGTCATTCCATTAAGATAAAGTGTCGAGCATAAGCTTTAAACCTATATGTAAATGGAAAAGTAGGAACAAACAAATTCAACAGGACTTGGAAATAAATCAATCCATCTTTAGTTGTGTCATAATCAACTTGATAACAGGCTTTATACTGGACAAGGATGGTCATGATCTCATAAACAAGAAATATTGTGTGAAGTAAGCGTAGCTCAACTGGTTTGTTTTCATGTGGTAGAACCAGCCCACCCAGGTTCCAATACTAGATTTGACACAGGAGCAGGAATTTGTATTTAAAGCTAATTATTCTTTTATTAGTGATAGACGATGTACGCAATGGCGTATCTAGGTATGGGTGATCCGACTTTTTTTAAAAAAATTGTAACAAATGCCTATATATACGATAGAATTGGCGAAAAGTGCATCATAATATTTTAATAATGTTATTTTAAATTAAGTAAACAATTTGACTTGAAAAAGCTTACACCGCTATGAAGAAGATTGCTATACTATTTCATCCTCAATATCTTGTTCTTAAGTGTGCTCTTCTACATAACCGGCGAAAGAGGTAGTTCATCCGTTTCACAATGTAAGACTATATAGTATTGCCCATATTTATATAGATGTTAAAGAATTTAGGCATATATATGTTTCTAGATTCATTAACTTCTATATATATGAATATGGGCAATGCTAGAAAATCTTACAA